GGTATCTCCCCCATGTCCAAGCTCTTCCTCCACACTATACTGAGTGCCTGTGCTACCAGCACTTTGCATTTCTTTATAAATATTGAATTCCATGAGTCTGGACCTGGGGTCGAGTGCATGGGCATGTTTTCAATTTCTCTTTCAAAATTTAGTGCGCTCGTGTTGATATCAGTTATATTTACAGGGGGTTTGAATATCCCGCATAAAGAAATTGTCTGGATCTTCCACTTTCATGTTGTTTATTGGAGTGCTAAACATGTCCTCATACTGCTTTTTTAGGATTTCACTAATTTCTTTGTCATCCTCCATGTATGAACCTTCACTTGTACGAATATGTCCAATACTGGCAGTGGTTTTTGCTTTTGATTTCGCATATGTGAAGAAATATTTTATGCTGTGAGTAGTGTCATTTATATCATCATCATCAAAATGCTTACCAAGTGATCTAACATTTTGGTTGTAAACTGATAACCAGGTGCTATTTAGGAGTTTGTTTTTTGCAAGATTTGCTGTGTAATACCTGCAATAATGATGATCAATGTGCTGACTGGTGTAGATATAAGACAGAAGATTTAGATCAGGATCAATATCAGTATGCATGTAGATGCAATGGGGTCACCATACAATAAGACAAGCAATTACAGAAACAATTAAATATTAAATCTGCTGTAAATATAAAGTAATTATAGCAAAACACAACAATAAATGTAAATACACATAAAATAGAAACAATTAGAAGTAAAATAAAGATCACCATAGATAGCCAGGAAGGATACAGAAGTTAGGTAAAAAGAGAAAACAAAAAATCAGTAGAAACTGATTAAGATTAATGTATAATAAAAATAATAAGACAAATAATAATCATTAAGTAAAATAATCTTAAAGTTAATTAACATAAATAGCTTAGTTATGATCCTATAATTGTTCATTTGATATATCACGTTATTGTGATTTCTGTGTGCATGTGCATTGAATGTTGTAACTAGCTCATCAAGATTGAAACTTGCTTAGCTAAATGAATTGTTGGGTTCAGTCCCTGAGCCCATTATATGCCTCTTTAAACATTTTCACTACCACCCACAAGATAGGTATGGGTGCATAATAAAAGAATTCAAATTCAAATTCAAATTCAAATTCAAATAAAAGTACATACATAGAAGATGAGTTACAAACATAATGTTGGATTTATAGATAGAGATAGCACATACAATACCTAAAGCCACCAATATGCAGAGCATTTCGGGCAAGGTGTGGGGAAAAAACACTTAAACTAAAACTTAATACTAATTGAGATTAAAGTATAAATTGTGTTGAAAAAGGAATAATAAAAAGGGGAAGGAACATGACAAAAATCAGCAATCATACAAGTTGGTCAACAAACAGTATTGTTTGAAAAAAGCAAGACATGGCCTGACATTTAGGGGGTAAGGTAGGTTACATGGAGATTATTAGGTAGTATTTAGTTTTTCCTTTTGAACTGGTTGAGAGAGGTACAGCTTTTGACATGATTGAGAAGGTCATTCTACATTCTGGATCCCTGTATTTGTAGAGCATTTCTAGTTTGGTTAAGGTGCACTCTTGGAATATCAAATACTGTAGATATTTGTTTCTGGTGTGGTGCCCATAGGTTCTGTTACAACCTTCTAGGAAGTGTTTAAGGTCAAAATTGGCATTACAGTTCAGAGTTTTAAATATATAGAGTACACTTGAGAGGATGTGCAGTGACTTCATATCTAACATATTCAAAGATTTAAGTAAGGGCATCGAGTGCTGTCTGGAGCCAGAGTTTGATAGTGTTCTAGTGTTCTAATAGCAGGTTTGTGTTGAGTAATTAGAGGATGTAGATGATTTTGGGTAGTAGAACCCCAAGCACAAATACTATAATTGAGATAGGATAGATGAAAGAGTAATAAACTAAACTAACTACATAAATGATCTACCACATGGAATAGAGAATTATATGAACATTTTGCTGATGATGCTCAGATACTAGGGAAGGGATGGGAAGATAAGAAACTTACATGAGTGTCATGCCCTTCAAGAAGACCTGGACAAAATAAGTCTATGGAGCTCAACTTAGCAAATAGAATTTAATGTGAATAAATGCTATGTCATGGAATGTGGAATAGGAGAACATAGACTCAACACAACCAATAAATTATGTGAGAAATCTTTAAAGAATTCTGATATAGAAAGAGATCTAAGGGTGGTTCTAGATAGAAAACTATCACTTGAGGACCACAAAAGAACACCATGCAAGGAGCCTATGCTACACTTTCCAATTTCAGAATTGCTTTTAAATACATGGATGGTAAAATACTAAAGAAATTATTCACGATTTTTGTTGGACCAAAGCTGGAATATGCAGTAGCTGTATGGCACCATCACCACCCACACCATCCCTCCACCATTACCACCCACACACCCCCTCCACCATCACCACCCACACCACCCCTGCACCATGCCTGACAGCTGAGTGGACAGCACTTCGGATTCATAGTCATGAGGTTCCGGGCTCGATCCCCGGTGAAATAAATAAATGGGCAGAGTTTCTTTCACCTTGATGCACCTGTTCACCTAGCAGCAAATAGGTACCTGGGAGTTAGACATCTGTTACGGGCTGCTTCCTTGGGGAGTGTAACAAAAAGGAGGCCTGGTCAAGGACTGGGCCACGGGGACGCTAAGCTCCAAAATCATCTCAAGATAACCCTCAAGAAGATACTCATATCTAAAGAAGCATATCAACAAACTGGAAATTTGCAAACACATGCAACTCAAAAAGTAAGGCTCTCAGTACTGAAGGACAAGAGCTAAGAGGTTAAGTTAGAGGCATTAAATATGCCAAAACTAGAAGACAGAAGAAAATGAGGAAATATGATCACTACAGTACATACAAAATAATAACTGGAATTGATAAAATTGATAGGGAAGAATTCCTGAGATCTGGAACTTCAAGAACAAGAGGTCATAAATTTAAACTAACTAAACAAAGCTGCCGAAGAAATATAAGAAAATTCACGTTCACAAATTGAGTGTTAGAAGGTTGGAGGTGTTAGGTGAAAAGGTAAAAGAGGCCAAAGCTGTCAGTAGTTTCATAGGGTGCTTCTACATAGAGTGCTGGGAAGATGGGAAACCATGAGCATATCTCTCATCCTGTAACTACACTTAGGTAATTACACTTAGATAATTATGTGGTATTCTACTGAATTCTCTAGGGGTCCTGAGGCATCCACCTGATACCAAATCAGGGTTTCACACATTAGCCGCATACACTCTGGTGTGGTATATGAGTTCTACCCCCAATGCTTTTCTTCAAATGCATAAAGAAATAATAATAATAATAATAATTAGGGAAAAGTACATACATAGAAAATGAGTTACAAGCAGAATGTTGGATTTCTAGATAGAGCTAGTATAACTTATGCCTAAAGCCACTAATATTTACAGTGTTTTGGGCAAGATGTGGGGGGAAAACTTAAAAACTAAGATTTAAAACTAATTGAGATCAAAAGCATGAAATGAACTGAAACGAGGGAAAAGGAATGACTATAATTACATGTTTAATGGAACAACAGAAATTGCAACAGAACAGCAGAAGAAATTTAACTAATAAACAGACTATGATTTTCTTAAAGTTTATACATGGAAGATACAAGTTGATCAGTAATCAATATTGTTTGAAATAGCAAGATGTACGTTGACATTTAGGGGGGGTAAGGTAACGCTCGCCTGGCGTTCCGCGAGCGCTATGTCATGGGTTCGTATCCTGGCCGGGGAGGATTTACTGGGCGCAATTCCTTAACTGTAGCCTCTGTTTAACGCAACAGTAAAATGTGTACTTGGATGAAAAAACGATTCTTCGCGGCAGGGGATCGTATTCCAGGGACCTGCCCGAAACGCTACGCATACTAGTGGCTGTACAAGAATGTAACAACTCTTGTATATATCTCAAAAAAAAAAAAAAAAAAAAAAAAAAGGTAGGTTACATGGAGTTGATTAGGTAGTACTTAGTTTATCTCTTAAACTGGTTGAGAGAGGGACAGTCTTTGACATGATAAGGAAGGTCATTCCACATTTTGGCACACTTGATTTGTAGAGCATTTCTAGTTTGGTTTTGTTGCACTCTTGGAATATTAAATAGGTATTTGGTTTTAGTGTGGTGCCCATGGGTACTGTTACAACCTTTTAGGAAGTGTTTAAGATCAGGATTTTATTACAGTTCGAAGTTTTATATATATGGAGTACACTTGAGAGGATGTAAAGTGACTTAATATCTAACATATTCAAAGATTTCAATAAATATTATTTAATTAGATTCAAATATACCTGGCCAATATCAGCAGTTTTACAAGTTAGTCATTAATCACCTCTCACATGCCTCTTCCAATTCTGCTATCCATTTGTTATCCATTTTGGGTCATTATTATTATTTGATCTATTCAATTTGTATGGTATACTACATTCCTGTGCTTTGTTTAGAATATATTTAAATAAGTTATATTTTGAATCAACATCGAAATCCCATTTTAAATCACCCATCATTGGGTTCACGTCTCACTCCAAGACTGGTGTACCCCCCCATGCCCAGGACTTTAAAATCTATTTCAACCAAAAAATTTCTTAGACCATTAAAATCAGCTTTTCGAAAATCTGGCACTTTAACAGAATTTTCTTCTACAAATTCATTCCATTCTATGCTAAATCTGATTTCTCTGTGATCATTTTTCCCTAGCTCACTCCTTATTTCAATATAATTAATTTGTGTTTCTCTGTTAGTTAACACTAAGCCTAAAATATTATTTTCCCCGTAATGGTTCCTTAATGCATTACTTAAGAAAGCAATCGTCAATTAATTCTAGAAAATCTTCTGCTTCATTATTCCCTGTCTGTTAATCCAGTTTATTCCAATAAAATTAAAGTCACCCATGACACAAATACTGTTTGACCTAGATGTTCTAGATATTTCATCCCATAGATGCTTTGCTTAAGACCATACTAACCATCACCGAGGAAGAGGATGACATTCTTGGCCACGTTGGTGAGCTTAGGCTTGTGGATGGCCTCCTCTAGCTCCTTCCTGGCCAAGTCATTCCAGTACGAACTCTCTGCAAACATAGCAAACAATTAATTGTCCATCTTCTCTATAATAAATACAGTAATTGTCTCTACACACTGCTTTTCAGTAACATTAAGGATAGTTAGGAAACAAATGGCTGCCCCTCTACAACATTCTGGTAGAATACTAGAATGGATAAAACAACGGTCAAAACAAAGAAAAATAAAGAGTCGTGTTAATGGGAAGGAATCTGATTAGAGAAATGTGGTGAGTGGGATACCAGAGAAGTTCATTTTTGGGCAGTTTTGATCAATCTGTTAACCTTTGTTTTCAATTCGACTGTAGTGTCCTTCGTTACCCTTTGGAACTTAGTTTGGTCAGAGAGTATGAGGTTCATTTTTTCCAGATATTCGTCTTTTTTAAGAATGATGTATATTGGCGACTTGTCACCTCTCCTGATGACTTTCTCCTTGTTCTCACGAAGGCTCTTAGCTGCCGCTTTGAGCTCGGGGGACAGTATGGTGCTTCTGTAGTTGCCTCGAATCTTTCCTCCTTCTGCAATAAGTTCTGCTTGTAAGGTGTCTTTGGTGGTGACCTTCTTTTGTGTCTCAAGGTCGAATATGTCGTCCAACAGGATCTCCAACTCCACTTTCCGGGCCATCTCACTTGGTCTGGACATAACGTGACAGTTTATACCCAGATTTAGGAGAGTGACTTGGTCCTCAGTGATATACTGCAGGTATGTTGACGACATTTTTACACAGGTACCGGATGTCAGACATCTGCAGGAGCTGAAGGAGGCCTTTGAGCAGAATTCTGTGTGGAGAAGGATGGGAAGCTGTCCTATCTAGATGTAACAGTCATGGAAAGGAGCAGAGGTTTCCACACTGCAGTCTACACTAAGGAAACAAACATAGGAATGTGCCTAAATGCCAATAGTGACTGCCCAGACAAGTACAAGAGGAGTGTTGTTAACGCTTATGGCGACCGTGCTCTCAACCACAGCTCAGGATGGAAGCAAATCTACGAAGAACTCTGTAGGGTAAGGCAGGTCCTAGTCAACAACGACTTCTCCAATCGTTTCGTTGAAGACATCATAAGAAGGAAAGTGAAACGCCATGCAACCTCTGAAGAGACAACTAACACAACACCTAAACCCCCTATTGGACTATTTTACAGGAACTTCTTTTCCAAAGCTCATAAAACGGAGGAAAGGGTCCTGAAAGATATTGTTAATAGAAACGTTATCCCTACAGACAAAGATCAGAAGATACAACTGACGATTTACTATAAAACCAAAAAAACGGCCAGTCTACTCATGAGAAACTCTCCAGACACAAAGCAGAACGCTTTAAAAGAGACCAACATCGTCTATGCCTTCAAATGCCCTCTTGGGGACTGTAAGCCTCAAAAAACTCAGTATATAGGCAAGACAACAACATCTCTTTCTAACAATGCATTCCTGGCGAGTCTTAACAAACAACACAGAAATCATCGATAGATGCATAGCAGCAACAGGGCTCCATTAACCCTTAAAGTGCGCATCACTTCATATGAAGTGTAAATCGTTTTACCAGTCAACTGCGCTTCACTTCATATGAAGTGTATGGGTACCGCGCACGATTTGAATGGCCCGCGGTGTAGCTGGGGGTCCCATACGCTGCCCAGGGGCTCTAGTAAACAGCGGCCATTTTGAAAAAAAATCCAGCTCACGCTCCGATGGCATGGGAGGCCTCAGTTTAGCGAGAGTCACCATGGCGAGCGCACGGTCAAACGCCTCACGAGCACGCATCACTCAGTCCCTCACCCCAGAGCAAATAGCCCACGAATTATTCTCTGAAGGTGAAGAAAGTGTGTTTGACGATTCAGACAACGATGAGGATTATACACAGTTGTCGGGAGATAGTAGCAGCAGCAGTGAAAGTGAGAATGACCGCCATGCCATGGCGAGGCCTATACGCTCTCCCATGCCTCCTCGCCCATTTTCTACCCCAATTCTACCACGACCTCACAGTTCCTGTGGATATTTTCTGTTTGAGGGTGACGAGTCAGAGGGAGGTGACTCCTTTTCTGGGTTTAGTGACTCAGATCAAAGTTTTATTGAGCCTGTGGCTGGTACCAGTGGTGTAACTGGGCGAGAAATTGTCGCGTCAGCAGCATCTCGCCCAGCCAAGCGCCACCGCATGGCACCACATGAGGCACCAAGACCCTCGTGTTCACGTGCACCCACCTCACGTGCACGTAGCCGCCGTGCTTCTCGCAGACGGTATTCAGCTCCTGGTCGCCGGTATGCATCGCTTCCTCGCCGTCTTTCCTCTGCATCTCGCAGGACGCCTGGTGTACTTGAGTGGAGTGATGGTGACGATTTTATTCCTAATATTCCTCACTTTGACGATAAAGATGTAGGGATTACAAACCTTTTCCCTAATCAAGGTGAGGACATGGCTGAGATGGAATATTTTACAGCATTCTATGATGAACCACTCATGGAATACATTGTACACCAAACGAACCTGCATGCTGCTTACCTGATTGAGAGGGAAATCACAGAATTTTCACGACTGCAGCGTTGGAAAAATACCACAGTGGCGGAAATGTATGTGTTTTTGGCACTCTGTTTGTTGATGAAGCACTGTCACAAACATGCAATAAATGACTATTGGAGCAAGGACAAGACAATACCAACACCTTTATTCGGGAAATATATGTCACGAGACAGGTTTCAGATACTCCTCAGGTGTCTACATTTTGGAAGTGTTCAGGACCGAACACCTGATGATAGACTGTGGCGAGTGAGGCACTACATGAACGATGTTATTGGAAAATTCAGAGATTTTTACGTACCAGCACAGAAGCTGGTGGTTGATGAATCTCTCATACTTTTCAAGGGACGTGTTCCATTCAAACAGTACATTCCCTCAAAACGAAACCGATTTGGCCTGAAATTTTTTGTTCTTTGTGATTGTGAGACAGGATACGTGTTACACATGATTCTGTACTCGGCTAGTGATGTAGACATTCCCGGTAACGACGAACATGGATTCTCGGGGAGTGTAGTGAAGACCATCATGGCTCCGTGGATGAACAAGGGACACATTTTATACACAGATAATTACTATACAAGTCCCTTGCTAGCTCGGTTCTTGCTAGAAAATAGAACCGGATTGGTTGGTACAGTAAAGCCACAACGAAGGGAAATGCCTGTGTTTGACAACGACATTGCAGTTGGTGAGTGTCAGAGAAGGAAAAGTGATAACATTCTGTCAGTTCGGTGGAAAGACAAAAGAGAGGTGAACTTGTTGACAACAATTCATGATGGAACAATGGTGAACAGTGGGAAAGTGAGCCATAAAACAAACGCACCACTATATAAGCCAGACTGTGTTTTAGACTATAATATCAACATGCGGTTGATTGATAAATCAGACATGATGATTGGCACTGCAGAGTGTGTGCGGAAGACATGTAGGTGGACGAAAAAAGTGTTCTTCCATCTTGTGGACATGAGCATGCTGAACTGTTTCAACATGTACCTTGTGAGAACTGGACGTAAGCCCACTTTCCGTGACTTTGTATTTGATGCTGCAATACAGTTATTAGGAAAGTTTGCAAAAGATGTCCCAGGTATTCAGCGGCCCATCATAAACCCACTGTTGCAGCATGCTGGTACTCCACGCCTCGCTCACACTGAAGGCTTCCTAGCACACAAACTTAAGTATTTGCCACCTGGTGTGAAGCGTGCAATAGCCCAACGTGATTGCTTGGTGTGTAAAACAACGACACGTAGAGACAAGAAACGGAAGCTTGTGCAAACATGGTGTGAAACGTGTGGTATCCCATTATGTGCTGTCGACTGCTTCAATGACTACCACAGTCTAGAAATCTTCTAAGTGTGCTTCAAAGTGTGTATAGCGTGTGCGAGTGTGTAAATATGTAAACATATAAGCAGAACATATAATATAATAGACTGTAATGACATATTATATTGCCGTAATTGAAAACATTTGTGTGCGCCTGTGTATACTCAAATATGCAACAATTATTGATACAAAATATGTTCAAACAGTATTTGAAACACAATTAGTGAAAAAAAATTAGATAAAATGCGCTTAGACATTCTAAATAAATAGCGCGAAAATATATTTGTGGCAACTCTGGCTGTTTGAGGACCGCGCGCAACATCTCCCGGGCGTGTACTGCATGAGCGACCATGCAGATTGTGACGTCATCGCAGAGCTTCTCGGCTCTATTGCAACAAAAGTAAGTACAATAGAATTTTTTTTTTATTTTTCCCGTGATCAGTGAACAGAACTTAACAGATTAGCAAAAAAAAAAAATTTTTTTTTTTTTCAAAATGACATGCGCCTGTGTGGATAGCAGGATATTAGACCCCGAGCATGTTAAGGGTTAATGAACATATAATCTCTTCCCACAACCAAACCATCACCAGAGAAATCTTAGCAAACAACACAGAAATCATCGATAGATACAGCGATAGCAGGTGGCTTGACATGTGCGAGGCACTACACATCAAGAAGTCAACACCAGCAATCAACAGCCAATTAATGCACAACTATATTCTACTCACTTCAAGACTCCGCTCCAATATAGAAGCATCAAGAAATATGGGCCAATAGGCCCTCTGCAATTACTTCCATTCTTACCTTCCATACCCATTGTTTGTGTTCTATCCTGTGTTGAAAGTTTTGTTCACCTCATCCAAAACTGTTGTAACATATCACCTCACCCAAAATGCGGGTATAAAAGAAAAATGAAAGCTGTTTAAATCATAGCATAAGTAAGAACTCTGTTTAGTGTTTGCAGGTAATAGTTGTGTGTGTGAACTAAAAGTCTTTGAAAATGTATTAAGTTATTACGAAACGCGTTCAAGTGTCGTGTCAGACTAGAAATAAAAATGAATTTTGGAGAATTGATTTTTCAATTACCATCAACAGTGAAAAGAAACATAAGATCGAGAAAATTCGTGTTAGAATTATTAATCTTACTTTTTCGGTCATATTTAATAATATATACTGATTTGGATATTGT